GGGAGCGCGGCGAGGCCGTGCCGCTGGGCCCCGGAGTGCCGGCCCTGGTGGCCAACGGCTTCCTAGCCCTGGACGTGACCGCCAACCGGCTGTGGGTGACTCCTGGAGAGCGGGAGCCCGCTGTGGCGCCGGACTTCGTGCCCTTCGTGCAGCTGCGCCCGCTGAACGTGCTGGCCGAAGCTGGAGAGGCTGTGCTGCTGCTGCGCGAGGGGCTACTGCGCCGGGTGCGCTGCCTGCAGCTCGGAAGCCCAGGCTCTGGCCCTGCAGCCGCCGGCCCCGGGCCCGCCTCGGCCTCCGGTCTTGCCGCGGGGTCCGGCCGTGACTGTGTGCTGCTGCAGGAGGACTTTCTGGCGCACCGGGGCCGACCCCACGTCTATCTGCAGCGCATTCAGCTCAACAACCCAACGGAGCGCGTGGCCGCGCTGCAGACTGTGGGGCCCACTGCGGGCCCGGTCCCGAAAGCCTTCACCAGCACCCTGGAGAAGGTCGGAGATCATCAGTTCCTCCTCTACTCTGGCCGATCCACTCCAGTGCCCTCTGGGCGGGTGCACCTGGTGGTGGTGGCTGCCAAAAAGCTAGTAAACCGGCTCCAGGTGGCTCCCAAGACGCAATTGGATGAGACGGTCCTCTGGGTGGTGTACGTCTCAGGCCCCATCAACCCCCAGGTGCTCAAAAGCAAAGCGGCTAAGGAGCTGAAGGCACTCCAGGACTTGGCCCGGAAGGAGATGCTGGAGCTCTTGGAGATGCCCGCGGTTGAGCTGCTTCAGGATCACCAGCGCCTCTGGGCGCAGCTGTTCAGCCCAGGTGAGGCCTGGCAAGGTCTTGGTGCACAGACCACACTGTGCACCAGGGTGTCCACAGTCCACTCTGGATGTGTCTCTCTGAGATCTGCAGAGGTGACCCTGAAGGTTAAAATTTGGGCCCGGCATTTGATGGGGGATCTCAGTACTTATAATCTCTTAACAGTTGTGTGACCCTGGATTAATGGCCTCATCTACCTCAGAGGATGAGATTTCAGTTAAAAAATGAGTGTAAAGTCGGGTATTGTTGTAAAGTGAGGCCTTATTGGAGTAAGTGGAATTTATAGGGTCAGTTCATAAAGGTAAACCAGCAGAATCCCAGACCCTCTCCACAGCTCATCAGGGTCTGCCTGGAACAGGCCTGGGCTTGGCCTGGCTCCTGAGAGGCTGAGGTGTTCCTGGCACTGTGGCTGTATCTGTTTGCAAGGAGGTTGGAGTCCCTTCTTTCAGCAGATTGGAACATTCACACCAAATGAAAGCTCTCTCCCCCATTCACTGTTAAGAAAATCCTGTTGGGATGAGGGGGGGATTTTGTTCTCCAGGGCTCCAGTTGTCTGAACTTGTATGTTCAGTTGCTCAGAGAGAGTTTAGTTCATTGAAAAAACATTTATTGAATGCTTCTGCGGGGGTGGGGGGGGCTGTTCTTTGCATGGGGGAAACAGGTGAGCAGAACAGAGTTCCTGTTTTCATGGGACTTAAGTCTGGTTGGGTGGAAGACAGACATTAGAAAAGTGAAATTTAAATAAGACACCTTCTTGAATTAAGACCACTATGGAGAAGGATTAAAAATGTGATGGGTGGGAGTGTGGAGTGGGGGCTACAGCTTACCCTGTCGTCCCGGGAGCCTCTCTGAGGAGGAGACACAGCTGACCTCTGAGTGGTGAGACTCAGCCAGTCAGTCATGTGACGGGGAGGAGGGTGTTCAGACTGGAGACTGCCCTGTGGCAGGAGCAGGTTGGGTGGCAGGTGCTAAGGAGGTCAGCGGCCTTGAAGCTGTTGGTAGAGGTGGTGCATTTTATTCTTAGAGGGATGGGAAGAGGGCAGATCTGATGACATTTGAAAAGGCCCTTGGCTGCTATGTGCAGAGTGTAGCCTGGGGGTGGGGCGCCTGTGGATGAGGGAGAGCAGGTCCGAGGTTCTTTAGGAGCCTTGACAAGGGGCAGGGAGCTGGGACCAGGATTGTGATCGTGGGGACAGATGTGGGTGGATGCTGATAATTTGTGCTGGGTGGGAGGCAGCAGGGACATGGATTGGCTGTGGGGAGTGAGACCTGGACGATGACTCCTAAATTTGGGGGTTTGAGCATCTGCTTGGTGACAGCTTGGGGAAAGCTTGGTTTGGGGCCACCTTCCATGTCAGATTCAAAATGCCTGTCAGACATCTGGGTGGAAACAACAGGAGAGTGTCTGAGTCTAGAATTTGTTCACATGCGGGAGGTAACTGTGATACCCAGCATGTGTGTATGAAACCCAAGTTCATACAAATTTGGGAGATATCATTTAAAGCTACAGGACTAAGCCAGGTGTGGTGATACACATCTGTAATCCCAGGCTGAGGCAAGAGGATTGCAAGTTCCGGGCCAGCCAGGGCATTTTAGCAAATAAGAAAGCTGGGGATGTAGTGCAGTGGTGGTGCACTTGCCTAGTGGGCGCCAGGCCCTCCATCCCCAAAGTCACGCCCAGAAACTGAGAAAGTAAAGCTGCTGGCCTGGAGAGGGATGGGAGAGGTGGCAGGACTGGCCAGGCTCTGATGACTGCCTCTCATGGAAGGGGTCCTGGGGTTGGTGCCCCATGCTGCGAGGATGCGCAGTCCTCAGCTAAGGTGGGACGCCCTATTGCCTTTGGACGGGACTTTAGGTTTCAGGCCCTGGCGCTCTGGTGGCCATGTTGGGCAGGCGGGTAGATTTCTCCTATTCTCAAGGGGGACCAGATTTCTGTCTTCATCACTGGGGCCCAGAGCTTCCCTCTGCTGCCCCTGACCTGTCGGCTCCTCTGTGCCCGGCCACATTCTCCTCCTTAACACACAATCTTCCTGGTTACAGGGGTGGAAATGAAGAAGATCACCGATGCCCACACGCCATCAGGCCTGACCGTGAACCTGACACTCTACTACATGCTCTCCTGCTCACCAGCCCCTCTGCTCAGCCCCTCCCTGAGCCACCGGGAGCGAGACCAGATGGAGGCCACACTCAACTACGAAGACCACTGCTTCAGCGGCCACGCCACCATGCACGCCGAGAACCTGTGGCCGGCCCGGCTGTCCTCGGTGCAGCAGATCCTGCAGCTCTCTGACCTGTGGAGGCTGACCCTCCAGAAGCGTGGCTGCAAGGGGCTGGTGAAGGTGGGCGCTCCGGGCATCCTGCAGGGCATGGTGCTCAGCTTCGGGGGGCTGCAGTTCACGGAGAACCACCTGCAGTTCCAGGCCGACCCCGACGTGCTGCACAACAGCTACGCGCTGCATGGCATCCGCTACAAGACCGACCACATCGACTTGGCCGTGCTGGCCGATGCCGAGGGCAAGCCCTACCTGCATGTGTCCGTGGAGTCCCGCGGGCAGCCCGTCAAGATCTACGCCTGCGAGGCGGGCTGCCTGGACGACCCCGTGGAGCTGACCTCGGCCCGCGGGGGCCACACCTTCTCGGTCATGGTGACACAGCCCATCACACCGCTGCTCTACATCTCCACCGACCTCACACACCTGCAGGACCTGCGGCACACGCTGCACCTCAAGGCCATCCTGGCCCACGACGAGCACATGGCCCAGCAGGACCCAGGGCTGCCCTTCCTCTTCTGGTTCAGCGTGGCCTCCCTCATCACCCTCTTCCACCTCTTCCTCTTCAAGCTCATCTACAACGAGTACTGCGGGCCGGGGGCCAAGCCCCTCTTCAGGAGCAAGGTAGGGCGCCGCCGGTCCTAGAGCCCAGGCCTCGCACACAGGAGGGGCTGGCCGCGGCAGGAGGGTGTCCTCCTCAGCTGGTGCCTCCAGCCGTCACCACAGAGAGGAGATCGTGTCTTGAGAGGCCATCAGAGAGACTTCACGAGGAGGCCTGGGGGGAAGGCTGTGGAATCCCAGGGGGAGCAGATGACTCCACGGCTTCTGTGGCAGCTGCTGCCCCCCACCAGTCTAGGCACTAAAAACAGACCTTTAAGAAAACAACAGACCCCAGATTCCATGGAGCCCTCTGAACTGCTCTGAACCTGTCCCCACCCCTGGGCCTGTCCATTACCTTAGAGGACAGTGCCTCTGTGTGGGCCTCTATCCACAGGGCCCTCTGGTTAGCACAGGACAGGGCACTCCCCTCCTGTCTCCTGAAACACCTTTGCCCCCAGAAAGCTGTGATTTTGACCCAGTGGGACTATCATCTGGGATGATCTTGGTGTCTCAGGGTCAGGCAGCCTCCTCTGCCTGATGCCACCCTCCATGCTTTCCCCGTCAGGGCCTCGGGAGAACAGCCAGAGGGACTCTGGTCTGCAGCAGCGGGGAAGAAAGTGTCCACAGGAGCTGAGCTTCCCTCCTGTCTCCTCTCCCCTCCTCCTCCTCCTCCTCCCTTCCCCCTAGTCCTCCCCTCCCCTCCTCTCCTCTCCTCTCCCCTCCCCTCCCCCCCTCTGCCCCTCCTTTCCTCTCCCCTCCCCGACCCCCCAGCCTCTCCCTCCTCCAGGGCTCTCTGCCCAGCCCAGACCCACACAGGTGAAGAAGGAGCTTTGTGGCTCCTTCCTGGTGCCCCCCAAGGCTGGACTGCCCAGGAAGCAGTGCTCGACTGCAGGGGAGGTGGGAGCAGGCCGGGTTCTCGTGCCTGAAGAAGAGAGATCAGAGCCGCCTCTTCACCGCTTGGGGTAGAGCCACACTGGCACTGTGGGGTCCGCAGCCTCTGCCAGCGGGCTGCCACTTAGCCTGCTGACCAGTGGCTTCTCTGTACCTTGGTTCCCCAGACATGAGCCAAACTGCTTTCGTGGGGACCTGACCTGTGTCCCTCCCTAGTGCTCCAGCTGGGCTACGCCAGAGCAGAGGAACGCCAGGCAGCGGTCACAAGCCGCTGAGCCGTGGTGACTAGCCTGCTGCTGGCCAGGAGCTGCCTGCAGGCGGGTCTGAGCCTGGGTGGGTCGCCAGGGCCACCTCCATGGCTGCCACCCTGGTGCTCTGTGGCAGCCCCGGGTGGTGGGCAGTAATCCCTTATTTTGTTGATTGAACAGGAAGACCCCAGTGTCTGAGGAACCGCGAGTCCTGCTTTCTGCCACCGTTGCACAAGACACCATCTGCTGCTACAGACAAGGGATCCTTTGGAAGCACCTACCCTTTGTGCCTTGTGGGGGACAGTGACGCAGAAGCGCTTGTAGATGCCAGCTTGCATTGGAAGGAATGAGTGTCCCGTGGGGAGGGAGGGGCCGGTGGACCTGTAAGCCTTCCACTCAATAAAGTGAACCTGTGTGGAGCGTACTTGAACTTGAACTCACTCCTTCCACACACCCTTTTCTGTCCCAGGAAATAGACCGTCTTTTGAAAAGACTCTTGTTTAGGAAAAATTGTGTTCTTTCCTAATTTAATGTGTTCTTTCTTGAATGAATTCTAATTTATTTTTGTTGATCTGCTGGGCGGCTTTGCCTCCGTGGGAGATGGTGAGTGGTGTCCCTTCCCTGGGAGGCCCCACAGTCCCGGGGCTGGGGCTGGGCCCCTGGCGGCTGCCCCGCCCACTAGAGAGCACGTGCCACCGTGTCCTCGGGTTTGCACACCGTCTCCCTATCATGAGCCTGTGGGGACCTGTGGTTTTGTACTTTGGGGCTTTGGGGGAGGTGTTGTACTTTCTAGCAGTTGATGATTGTTTGGTTTTGAAATACCAAAGCTTTTTTTGTTGTTTTTAAATAAATCTCTTTGAAACTTCCACGACTGGTTTGTGTGTCAAGAGCCCTGACCTGTCCACTCCCTTGCTGCATTGCTGGGTGGCCTGAAGCAGGACACTCGCCTCACCCAGCTCTGCAGGCCAAGGAGTCACCTCAAGCTGTGTTGCTGGCCACCTTCTCGGCTGGGGGCTGCCTGGTGGCCACAGTGGGCTGACGGCTCAGAATGCCTTCTGCTCCTGCCTGTCCTGCGGAGCCTGGCCACAGGACCAGAGCAGGAGCGAGCCCTGACTGGGCCACTGCTGGCCTCTGTGAGAAGCCAAGATCAGGGCCCTCGCCTCTGCGAGGAGGAAGCTGTCCATCCCAGGGACTGGGAAAGGACTCATTCGGACCTGGCAGTCCCTCACTGCGGGTCCCCAGGGTTGGGCCATCGCCCTGGGTCCCCGACAGCTGTGTGCAGCATGACTTCACAGGAAGCTGGGCTGCAGGCTGGAAGCGGCGCCCCCGGCAGATGGTGCAGGAGAGGAAGCCGGGTCCTCTCTGCTGCGGTGGCCCTGGTTCTCCAGCTGCTCAGTCCACGGCCCTCCCACCCCTCTGGTTGGTGCAGAGCGCAGACAGGCCATCTTTCAGATGAGGCTGCACATGGCTTGCCTGACTGGAGCGGGAGTGTCAGGGCAGGCCTGAGTGTCATTTATGGTGTCACATGCCTGCCAGTTGTCCCATTAAGCTGGAAGCTGCTAGACAACGGCCACACTTGGTGACTCTGACTCACTGTTGTACTTGGAACCAGGCCTGTGGAAGGTTCCCACGTCCCTGGTGGCTGAGGAAGGTCTGCTGAACGTCTAGCATTAAGTGACAGCTCTCAGTTAAAAGCTGCCCGTGGTGTTAGGTGTTTTTCACCCACATGTCCCCACCGGGACGAGGCTGCTGGAGTCCAGGCCTTGCATGCAGGATGACCTGTCAAGCACCGGGAAGTGCACCCTGGCTGGAGGTGCTCCTCTCCACCAGCTTCCCCCTCCCCACTGCCTTCCTCCAATGGCACCTAGCAGGGCCTCCAGTGTGCCACCTTGCAGAGAGGAGAGACTGCCAGTCTGGGTGGGGACAGCCAGCTGCTAACCTGAGTGGGCCTGCCCTGCCTGGGCTGCTGGGTGTAGGAGATGTCCCCAGCCTGGTGGGCCGGAGCAAGGCCCTCCCAGACCCCACCATACCAGCACCTGACTGCAGACCCCCAGCCTCCAGAACTGTGAGGGACACATTTCTTCCGCTCATAGGGTGCCCAGCCTGTTCTAGAAGCCAGAAAGGACAAAGTGCTTCCCTCCGTGGAGGTGACAAGCCAAGAACAGAGGCACACAGGGACTCCAGGGAAGAAGAGGCCTTGGTTTTTCTTGCTCAAGAGTCAACAGCTTCAAGGGACCCTTGGGACCCTTGGGAATGTTGGTGAGATTTCCATTTCAAAATACCTGAGAACATCAATTTAGACCGGGGACCACGGCCCACACCTGTAATCCCAGCAGCTCGGGAGGCTGAGGCGGGAAGATCATGAGTTCAAAGCCAGCCTCAACAATGGGGAGGTGCTAAGCAGCTCAGTGAGACCCTGACTCTAAAAAAAATCCAAAATAGGGCTAGGGATGTGGCTCAGTGGTCCAGAGTCCCTGAGTTCAATCCCTGGTACCAAAAAAAAAAAAGAGGAAGTCTTGTTTTGGTTCCTGGTTTTGGAGGTTTCGGTCCCAGTCAGACGGTGCTATTGCAGACGGGGCAAGGTGGCACATCATGGCAAGAGTGCCTGGTGGTGCAGGAGCTCACCTCCTGTGGCTGGGAGAAGAGGAGGGGCCTGCTGGGGTCCCAGTAGGCACGTCCTCCGTGAACTCACGTTTCCACCACCTCCCAACAGTGGCATGGGCTGGTGACCGAGTCTCCAGCCTTTAGGGGACTTTCAAGACCTAGATCACAACAAACGCAGGCCCTCTCTCCCTCCCGAGGTGGGGGTCTACGGCTTGTCTTAGATTTTCCTCACTTTAAAATTAAGAACTGGAGCTTCTGCATGCTGGCCCTTGTCTGCTTTCCTTCCTTCCTTCCTTCCTTCCTTCCTTCCTTTTTATTTTTTAGTTGTAGATGGACACAATATCTTTATTTATTTATTTTTATTGTGCTGAGGATCAGACCCAGTGCCTCATTTGTGACACTGAGCCCCAGCCCCAGCCCCTGGGCCCTTGTCTTTGGGAACCTCGCTCCTAGGCAGCAAGGGCCTGAGCTTTGCAGGTCTGGTCAGGGGGCTGGCAATGGGCAGCCACCCCACCTGCCCTCCCTAGAGCAGGGAAGCCCGGGCTGAGAAGGCCCACAGCTGCCGGCGATGGCTGAGCAAACAGCCGCGCCCTGCACAAGCTGCCTCCACTGAGCGCTCCTGTTCCCGGGGAGTCGCTCCCGGGACTTTGGCCAATGGAAGCTTCATGTGAATCGTTTATTTCAGCAAATGTCCACTGAGAATTTTCTGGCAGGCCACACATCTGGCCCTTGGGGAACAAAGGGAGGAGGTGGCACTTGAGGAGCAGCTGCCGTGTGCTTGGCATTTTGCCAGCTTGAGTTCCATGAAGGCAGACTCACTGAGTTACATTCCTACATATTATACCACGTAAGCCTCCTGTTTCTATTAGGACTTGGGGTGTTGCAGGTGACAGAGAAATTCATGACAACTGGCTTACCCAGGAAGGAAGCGTTGGCTCGCAGGTCAGTAGAGTCCAGTGGGAGCTTTAGGAGTGGTTTGATCCAGGACTCAAGTGACTTCAGGAGGATGCAATTCTTACCCCTGCTCCATGGTAGATTGGGCTCATCTTCTGATTGGCTACCCTTGTCCCTTGTGGTTAAAATAAAAAAAAAAAAAATGGCCACAGTTATCAGGCCTGATGGCGCCCAAGCCTCAACTCCAAAGGAGTCCAATCCCGCATTCCCACCCAAAGCGCTGAGGCTCACCTCTGATTGGACAGCCCAACCTGGAGCCAATCACTGTCGCTATTTACATATGTAAATTAGGTTAGACCAACAGGACATCCCAGCGCTGGGATGGGGTCAATCTCAAACTACTGGACAGAGAGTCACAGGAGAAAGGTGGTTTCCCAAAGGAAAGTCTGGACAGTCTAATGAGGAAGGAGCAGATGAAGGCTCAGGCAGAGTACCGTCTCCCACATGCCATGCAAGGTGAGCTTTGGTCCCTTCCAGATGAGGACAGTGAGGCTCCAAGGTGACGTCTCTTGGCCAAGTCCCACAGTCCGAGGAGTTGGGATACGCTCCCAGATCTGTCCAGCTCCAAGCCAGGTATCCCCTCTGCTGGCCCCAGTTGCAGGGACACATTTTGAAAAGAGTCACTTGCCTATTTGTCCTGAAGCAGCACCAGTTCCACCAGGCAGGGACAATACCCCTTTCACCCAGGAAGGTCTCTGGGTAGGGCAGGCCCCAGAGCCTCTGAGAGATGGACGGCAGGACGTGGTGGACACTCCAGCTCATGAGCCTGATGGGGGATCCCAGGCCCTAAGTGGCCGGGATGTGGTCACTTATTTGGCTGGATGTGGTGAGGAAGACAGGCGTGGGGACCCGAGGGCCTTGGGGATCGGCTGTCAGGACTGTGCCCAGGAATGGGACGGCAGCTCCTGCCTCTCCTGGAAGCTGGGGCCTGCCCACACCTCTGGCCTCCCAGGGCAGGGCCATCGAGGAGTGACGGCTCGAGGGGACGCTGCCTTCCCCTCTGATGGCTGTCATAGTCATAGCCAAGTTTTACAGCCTCCTCCAAAACCAGAGGACGATGCGAGCAGGTACGGTGGTGCACGCCTGTAATCCCAGTGACTCAGGAGGCTGAGGCAGGAGGATGGCCAGTTAGAAGCCAGCCCAGGACTTAGCACAGCTCCCAGTGAGACCTGGCTCAGTAGTAGAACTCCCTGGGGTCAATCCCCAGTTCCAAAACAAACAAACAAACAAAAATAAACAATCCCACCCCTCCCCCCAAAACAAAAACAGAGAGAACATTCACCTCCCATTTACAAATGAAAACCAGTGAGAAAAGGGAGCTTGCAGGTGCGGTTGCTAAGGAAGCCTGGGTGGGGCTTTCCTTGGCAGGCCGACTGCTACCTGGGAAGGAGGCTCCCAAATCCTGGCTCCTGGAGCCTCTGGGTCTGCTCAGTGGGGGCAGGACTCTGCAGGTCCCTAAGCGGCACTCCAGGGAGGTGGCTGTGAGGGCGCTGGGCGGGGAAAGGGGTCCTTCAGGTGATCTAATAATAAGTGAGCTAAGCCTGCGAGCCCCACATTCCCACCTGTGAGAAGTCTAAGGACACCTTCCAGCTCCACAGACTGGCTGGGATCCGGCCTTGACACCACCGGTGAATGGGTGTGTTTCAGCAGATTCAAAATCTCTCCCAACACAAGGGGGATCACCACATGCACCTGGGGAACAGATTGGCACCTCCAAACCTGGGCTCCGGGGGCAGAAATCAGGGGCCTGTGAACTCGGATCATAAAACCATCTTTGTTTGTATCACCTTCGAACCTTTCCTTTCCTTCCTTATTTTATTTATTTTTTGTTCTGGGGATGGAACCCAGGGCCTCCAGTATGCTAAGCAAGCCCCCTACCGCTGAGCGACTTCCCCCAGCCTTAACTCAGACATTTCTGATACCGGGATCAAGCCCAGGGGCTTGACCACTGAGCTACATCCCCAGCTTTTATCTTTATTTTTTAATATTTCTTAGTTGTCAATGGAACTTTTGCTTATTTATTTATATGCAGTGCTGAGGACTGAACCCAGGGTCTCACACATGCCAGACAAGCGCTCTACCACTGAGCCACATCCCCAGCCCCCAGCTTTCATTTATTTATTTATTTTTGTGGTGCTGGGGGTTGAATCCAGGGCTTTGTGCTTGTGAGGCAAGCACTCTACCAACTGAGCTATATCCCCAGCCCGCAGAGTTAGTTTTTAAAATTTTGATACAAGGTCTTGCTAAGTTGCCCAGGCTAGCTTTGAATTTGCCATCCTCCTGCCTTAGCCTCCCGAGTTGCTGGGAT